ACGTAGCCGTTAGCCGTTAGCTAACACAACATTTAAAAGATACAGTTAAAAAAACTAATATTAAGCTAATACATAATACATATTTAAAACACACACACACACACACCAAACACATTTTTACCTTTGAAAGTTTATCCGATTTCTTCAGGAATTTATATTTTGGTTTTTACATCCAGAAGCTGTGCAATGTATTGCATCTTAAAACACATTGATTGGTATTGACCGTTCCAAGATGGCAGATGCATCAACGTGTCTATTGTGGTCGAATGTGGATTCTACCTAACGTTACACATATCTATGTTCATGAAACCTGATTTTTGTTTTCCTGCCAACTGACAGACAAATGCATTACGGATGTTGTAGCTTTTGGTAAAAGGGAACGCAATCTTTCCATCTGTTTTTTAGTCATATGGCACCAATGTCAAAAATGTTTCGCGTTTTTAATGCAGACAGTCAAGTTTCATAAAATTTTTCATGAGGTGAATTCCCTCTAAGGTGGTTTTCTTGTTAAGTGACTAGATTTCTGGAAACCAGGGACATTTCCCAGTTCAGTGCTCAAAATATAATATCTGAAACATGAATTAAAAAAAATAACGGGGACAATATAATATATTTTTGTACGTTTTTTTCTTTAATTATCGTGGGTTCCATTTACTGTTATTATAATTTTTTGATGTTTTAATGCAATTCACCAAAATCACACAGTGAAAAATAATAGTAACCATTGCAATTAGTGTACAGATCATAGGACTAACAACATTTAAAATAAATTAAATAAATACATCAAACTATATTTCACATTTAATATTTATTTTAATATTTGTAATATTTTGTAGTTTCATTTAATATTTTTCTTTACACAAGCTGTGAGTAAACTGTATATAGTAACTTTTGTTTTTGTTAGTGGTATTTTATACATGCTTTTGAAGGCTTTTGGTCGGTTTTGAACGTGTTGTAAAACAAGGAGATTTCCAGGGACGGGTCTAGTCAGGGACATGATTCGTCCCCAGAAAACAGTGACTGAATGGTTGTAACTCCCCAACCCAATGGCCCAAATTTAAAAGATGTTGAAGTTTGCAAGCATCAAGACACTCAGGACAGAAAGTGCATTGGCTAGTCTTTATATTTAATGTCACAACCGAACCATGGGACATCATGAATAACTTCTCCAGAATGTTCTGCTGCAATTCCTGAGGGTCAGACCATGGCCATGTGATGAGTTTAAAGAAACAGACTTTTGTGTAATCCTCTCGCAGGAAGAACATGACTCTGTTGCCAAAAAAGGGAAAACATTTGATATCATAAGAAAGTAGTAATCAGAAAAGGAGGTCATTTTCCACAGGGTTCATTTTAGTTGTGAATTTGTAGTGTGTAGACATCAAAGCATTCTTAAGAACACATATTAATCTGCATTTCAATAGGATTGTGTAAAACTTTACTAGTGGCACATACTCACTCCCTCTATTTGCCATTTATATCAGCACTGGTGAAGGACCCTGAAGAGTCTCCACATCCCGGTGAAAAGGCCTCATTGTTTCAATAGAGACAGTTTCTCAGATCGGACTCCATTCTGGTATAAAAAACTTGCAGGATGGGTTGTGATGGCGCTTCATGTTGATAACATTTATACTTTGTTTCGCTTGCAGACCTGTGTAATGTGCTCACAATAAATGAATTACAACACATATGTTTTCATGAATAGATTTTATATAAAACATTAAAAATGTCAAATTTAGAGTCTCAGTGCTATTGTACTACAGTAATATTTATATATGTCATAGTTACATTTCTCAGATTTCTCTCTAAAATCCTTTAATTGATAACTATATGAAAATGCATAGCTTAAACAACTAACAAAATAAAACGAAAATGCAAGCAAAAACAAGCTGACAAAAGCAAATCTGAACTGCACATATTTTCTCATATTTTTTTCTGTTGAGTAGTCCTTCTCTTATCCTACATATATACTGCCTACTGCTGCAGATATACTGTGTCTATCATGAAATATACCATCTACTGATTATCACTGGGCTCTATATATTTCAATTCTCTGTGTGTATGTGCTGTACATGTGGAAGAATTGACAATAAAGCAGACTTGACTTGACTATATATATATATATATATATATATATATATATATATATACATACATATATATAATTCATGCACTTTAGGAAATGAAATGGCGCCCTCTATGAACCAACCATTTATATTGACACTAAAAAAACCCTCAGATGAACAGCATTGATTCTCAACATTCAGGTTCAAGCAACTCAGCAATTTTGTTTGAGTTTAGGTTTTTACACTATACAAAGACATCTTAAATAAATAATGATCCACACAAGCCAATTTCTGCTCAGACATCACAAAAAAAAAAAAACAATTCTAAAACAAACAAAATGACTTCTTAAAGGAATAATGCACTCACGAAAATTCCCACACAAGCCGTTTGAACTGTTTGGATGGTTTTAGGTTATTTTTGAAGCTTTACAATATGAATCACCATTTACATTCGCTGTAAGTAAAAGTGCAGCTCAAATTTCTTTTGTATTTCACACAAAGAAATAAGTCATATATGTTTGGTAAATGATGATGACAGAATTTACATTTTTTGGGGCAAATTATTGCTAGAAATAAGATTCAGGCAACAAGTCCTGAACATTAAAGGGGTCATATGACGTTGCTAAAAAAGAACATTATTTTGTGTATTTGGTGTAACGGCGGCGGCGGCAACATTACTACAGCGAGAATCAAAGTTACGCCTTCTTTCTTTGCGTGAACATTTGGGCGGCGTTATGCAAATCTTCCCACATAGTGACGTAGACATGTGGGGGCATGTTAGAACGAGCCGTTTTAGGAGGGCGTGGACCAGTCTTAACTTTAATAAAGAATATCTCTTTGGGTTTGAGACTTTAGTCTTTGCAACTTCAGGGATCTTATCTATTCACGAACAGCTTGTAACACTCCAAAGAGAAAGGAAAACTTGAAATGGCATCATATGACCCCTTTAATTAAACACAAAGCAAATAAACAGCTAATCTTCTTCTATTCACAAAGCTGAAGTGACTGTAACAAAACAACACTTGAAGTAACTGTAACAATAAATAATGTTATTAATAATAATTTGTCAGATGATGACAGCTGTGATGTACAGATAAACATTTACCCTGCATAGATTTGTGCTAGAAGCTCTCAGAAGGTTTTCTGGACCACTAATATTTTATCTACTTTGTAGCTTTACAGTTGCACTATACAGTTTCCCAAGGAATGCTGGGAATGGATAAAGACAGGATGCAACAAACATCCATGCCTAAAGTTGGTTGAGAAATACTGTACATTTTGCTTATTGAAATATTCAGAATTACCTCTAATTTATATAAAACGCATGATATTATACACACACACAGATATGCACAACAAACAACAACTGAACATAAAAAACATGAAAAAAAATGTAACAAATAAATACAGCAATTTATATAGGACAAATTCACCAATATCATCCAGAATCGTTGATTATACAGTCACTCCAAACATATTTCAGTGCTCTACAGGTACTGAAGTTAATGAACACTCGCATACTGAATATTGCACTTTCAGTTATTATTAAAACAGGTGGAGGTAAAATATCCCACACAATTAAAAATATTTAGGCCTAAACTGAAGATGCATGCATTTGAATTGCTTGCACATTTTCCATCCATTGCATTACACAAACAAACTAATAAAGGTAATGTGATGCATATTTGTTATACATAAATGGAACAGGCTACAGATTTCTGTAATAGTACTAATAAACTGAATGCATTTTAAGTACAGTACAATTATTCGGTTTCATCAATCAATCAATCAATCAATCAATAATAATTTGTTTGTCTATATTTTAACTAATTGAATATTGCTTATTCGTACTTTTTTACTGAATAAATGTGTTTTCAGAATAAACAGATTTATGCTGAGCCATTTGAATAAATACATTTTTAAAACATTATTTAAATATTAATATATATATTTAATATATTATATATTAAATAGATGCAAATAGTTAATAAATTATGAAAAAATATTTTTGCGTACAGAACAGTGTTATTATAGTTAACAAAACCTGAAACTAAAATTAAAACCATAAAAAAAAAAAAAAACATTTTTGTTACTTGAAATAAAATAAACATTGAATGAAACACTGAGGGTTTGGGGTGCTAGTTGCATAAACAAGCTAGTTGCCAAGGCAAATTTTCAAATTTTAATTCAGATTATTTTAACTTTAGATTTAAAACTAAAATTGAAATAAAAATGTATAAAAAAACTATATAGACTTATAAATATGAAATATTAAAAATGACAAAAACACACAACAAAATTAGTAAAACTTCAAGTAAAATAAAAATGAACATTTAAATTATGTAAATAAAAAAGGATTCAATATATTATGAAAACTAAAATAGTATCTCAAAGAAACTAAAATTACACAGGTGCAGAATCTTACCCATTTTATTCATGTATGACTGACAAATATGCATCACATTAGTTTATTAGTTTATTTAAAAAATGTGTAATCAAAATGGATGGAAATTGTATGTGCAATTCAAATACTGAAATCTTAAAGCTTGACCTACATTTTTGAGTGCATGGAGCTGTCAATCAAATTCTCTTTATCATTAAAGAGTGGAGCCAATGTCACACTCAAACGAAATACACAGCCAGCAAAAAAAACAACAACAATAACAACTGCCCAACAGAGTGACTGCACATTTTAACTTCTAGTTAACAGTAACTTAAAAGTAAAAACTATCATCTATGCCAGTGTTTCTCAACCCTGGTCCTGGGCGTCCCCCAGCACTGCACATTTTGTGTGTCTCCCTAATCAAACACACCTGATTCAACTCATTAGCTCATTAAAAGAAACTCCAGGACCTGAAATGGGTGTCAGATTAGGGAGACATACAAAATGTGCAGTGTTGGGGGGCGCTCAGGACCAGGGTTGAGAAACACTGATCTATGCCTTCATCTGCCATTATTCAGACAAAACTTAGAACAATGGCAGATGTTCTGCATATTAAAATTGAAATGTAATAAAGTATTTAACATAAAGAATGACTTCACCCTTCATTGGCTCTGTGCGGATGGACAGAAGGGTTGAGTTTGTCACTGAGTTTCTGTATGAGGAGTGAGAGCTCTTCTGTGGCCTGAGATTTCTCCTCTAGCAGTTCATATCGCAGACTGGAAATATCCTGCTTGATCTCCTTCAGCTCCCCTACAGATCACACACAAATATATGATAATAGGAACACTGTCAAGAACATTGGGGGGGGGGGGGGGGGGGCGGAG